CCCTGATGGAGCCCGTCCCCAGGACTGCTCTGAGGGGTAGGGCAGGAAGGATGAAAGCCTGCGGGCCTCAAGCTTGAGAGAGCCCCTTGGAGCCACAGGAGGGACCTGGGACAGGGGAGCTAGGCCCCTACCTCAGGTGTGAAGCTTGAGGGGGCACCGAAAGCAAAACAAAACAAGAACCCTCATTATTTAAGATACCTATGATGAAAAAATATCAGAAGATCTCTCCCACCCTAACCCTGGCCTTGGCCAGCAGATCCCCTGCTTTCCCTGGGCTCTTCCCACCTGCCCAGGTTATCAACATAGAAGGAAAAGTGACCTGAAATGTAACTCCTGCTTTTTAAATTCTTTAAATCAGGGCCCCTTGCCAATGAATATTTTAATTCATCTTTCAATTTTCACATATCTAATTTGATAAAAGGGAGGGCCAATATGTATGCAAAAATAAGAAAAACATATTTAAAGTTAATCTGTGTCCGTGGTTAGGAGCATAGCCCCTGGATCCAGAGTGCCTGGGTTCAAATCCCAGCTTAATCTGCTAACCACCTGTGTGATCTTGAGAAGGTTACTGAACCTCTCCATGCCTCAGTTTCCTCAACTGTACAGTGGAATAATAGTCCTTGTCTTGTGAAGATGACTTAATCCATGCCAAGCCCTTTGAATGGCGCCTGGCTCGTGGTCTGCGATGTGTCAGCTGTGGTCATTTGCCTTAGGTCATACATTCTGTTGACTGGGAGGTGCTTCGGGGGTTGAGGAAGCTGACCCTCATGTTCTCATCCTTGAATTCGTGGTGCCCACTTTCAGTTTTCACCTTTAAGCTCCGTTCTCCCCCTCACCCATTTGCTGTCACATCCACCCATCTTCCAGTACCCTGGGCTGCTGCTCTGGCACCATCTTTGTAGAAGCAGCATCGAACCTGCCCCCAGCTGTGATAACCTCTTGATTAGAAGAATCCAAGTCAGATTTGAAACTATTGGAAAATGTAAATGAAAATAGGCAGCTTTCTTTTTTGGGGGGGATGGGAGGTGTCAGTCAGGAGCACAGCATCTGGGAAGACTCATGCCACGACATGCTGTGATTTTCCTGATATCTCCATGGCAAGCATTCTGCAGGCTTGAGGAGGAGTCTCACTGGAGATGAGCTGTCCAGCACTTGGACCCCAAGGCTAAGTTCCTGGGTTAGAGCCGAGGTCTTGGCATTGCTGGCTCTCCCAAGAACCTGTGATCAGGGAGCTCTGGGTTGCAGGTACATGGGGCTGTTGGAGAGCCTGGGAGGTGCTGGGTCAGGCTAAGGCCTTCTGGGGTCTACCTGATGGGCTCCACTAGTCTTAGCTTGTCTGTGATGGGATGTGGAACTCCAATGAAACCTGCCTTCTTCCCCTCCCTTTCTCTCCCCCCACTTTCTCCTCCCTTTCAGAGTGGGATGTAGAGACAGGGAAGTGCGTAAGGACGTTTAAGCACAAAGACCCCATCTTGGCCACCAGGGTCAACGACACCTACATCGTGAGCAGCTGTGAGCGAGGGATAGTGAAAGTGTGGCACATTGTCATGGCTCAGCTGGTAAAGGTGAGGGTGTGGGCTGTGGAGGGAATGGGGCACTGGAGGTGATGGATTGGGGGAGGCTAATGATATCCCCAGCGTAGCGCTTTAGATCGTCCTGGAGCAATTGAGTTATAATCACCAGAAGGGTGGTCCTGAAGAACTGAAGGGGAAGCCCCCCCAAAAGTGGGCCATTGCATGTTGGTGGTAGTCCAGGGCTCATGTGACCCACGTTGTCATGGGGGTGGTAGTGGAGGGCTGCATTCTGACTTGACATTATAAATGGGCTCAGGATATTTTTACAGCAGTAGGGATAAAGTACATTTTCTTTTTCTGGAATATTCTACCCTGATTCTGGCATGGGTAAGGGAATGAACAAAGTCACAGTGGGTTTTCTCCTTACTCTGAGAACATTGGATGAACTGAAAGTGATTGAATGTTCAAATACACAAAATGTTCTTGCTGGATTTGAACCCCTGGCCCTAGTGGGTGGTGGTGAGATTATTTATGCCAGGAGCACAGGATCACAGTGAGAAGGTGCTGGTCTGTCTGGTAGATTTTTTTTTTTTTTTT